TAAGGTCCCGCAGGGCCCTGATCTCCTCCGGGAGCTCGTTCCACCAGATAGGAGCCGCCACCGAAAAAGCCCTGGCCCTAGTCGCAGCATATTTGACATCTCTAGGGGCTGGGACAGCCAGAAGATGTTTTGCCCCCGACTGTAGTGCCCTTGGGGGAACAAGTTTAGGGAGCAGTACCAAGACTATAGCAGTACTATCAGAGGTAACTCACTACAGTTCATACATCCAGCAACCAGTAGATAAAGGAGAAAAAGATCTGGAAGAGTCCAGCCCTCCTGATGTAGTGCACAGCATGGTCTCTTTTCAGCCTCAATAATGAGACAATCCCCATCTTGGAATCAAATTTCCCATCACTATGAAAATGGCAGCTCAGATAGGACCCCTACCCCCCAAAAAAAGAAATGAGGAAATGCTTTTCTGTCAGCCTGCTGTCCATTGATGCAGAAAAGTGGAGCTGGCTGCTCCCACTACCCCTTTCTTGCACATTTTGCTCTCCTTCCCATACTCACCACTGAGCAGCACCTTGAGTCAGATCCATCTGTGAAAGTTCAAGGTGCACCTAGAAGAAAAAACACAGGGGAAGTATTCTTGCTCCATTCCATCAAGGAGCCCATTCTTCTCTCAAAGTGGAACCCACAGTAACCCCCATGCTCCGTACCTTTCCAATTGGCTCCGGTCGTGACATGAAAGAGGCACCATTTTTAATGTAGGCCTCCAGCTTCCTTCGGTGGGCTTCTTCCAAGGGTATATCCCACTCAAACCTGTTTAGGGGAAATACGTAATACAAATCAGCCGATAACACTAACACTTTAATTACTTTCTGTAATCAGGGTGGTGAAATAACGGTGTGAATTTTCTCCTGCTGTATTAATGCATGCTTACGGCTGTACTGGGGAACCTAAATTGCACTGGTGACGTCGGTAACTATGGAAAAGGAGGATTGACTCTGGATTAAGAAATCCTTTGCCTGGTCTCATTTAAGCGATAAGTGTATTGGCAGTAGATCAAAGCAATGCCTATTCTCAACCACCACATGCTATGAGGAGCTTGTTGCATGGAAACCAATACTATGGTGGGCCACGTTGTGAGCATCAGTCCTTAGTGAGTGTGCTTGATTCAGTGCTAATTAAAGACTTGAAGCTCTAGCACAGCAGCTAACATACCAGGCAACAAATCAGAAAGCCCTCAGGTCAAACCAGGCCTCTGATATGCATTCACTAGGAGTGTAATCCAAAGCAGACTCACACCCTTCTAAGCCTGTTTACTTCAATAGACTTAGAAAGGTGTATTCTGCTTAGCATTGCACTGTAGGTGCCTAAGGCAAGCTGTCTCTCAGCTTCAGCTCCATGATGGCAGTATCAGGACGATAACACCGTTTTATACTGCAGGGTCGTTGTGACGATTGCTGAGATCGCGTTTGTCACGGTGCCTTGGAACAACGTACTAAATACTAATGGGGGAAATTTCAGCTCTCTCATGCTAGTTTTTCAGTTGCCTCAGTGGTCCCTGCAGATCTTAGAATGTACATATTCCTGGGTAGAATCCATCCTAGAAGAGTGATCAATCAGGAAGTGAAAAATTCCAGTCCCCTCCCTGGGCAGGCTTTGGTAATGACTAAATTCCTTTAGTGTCTGATGGCTTAACAAAATGGCAACCAATAGCAACAAATCATTTCTTGAGAAAACAGAAGTTGGATCTGATTGGTCATTGGTATAGTATAGTGGTGATTCCACTTCCCTGCAGGTCCTTCCCCAGTTTTTCAATGAGACACTCCTGCACAAAACACACAATTTGATCCTCCCTTACTTTTCATTGAACTCAGGATTGAGAGTCTTCTTCCGCAGAGTGGTCTTTCTCTTGGTAACACGGGATTTGTCAGGAAGAAGGATGAGAGAGACATACAGGTCAGGAATATCCTTGGCGCTTGACTTTAGGTTCCTGGAATGGGGGTGGAAGGGCAGCAAAATTCAGTCACATGGGAATAGCAAGAAAGAAGGATATTCTAGAAGGAGACACTGAAGGGAGTTGAAACTATGGACATCATGAGTGGCAACATATAAGGTGGTTTGGCTCTTCATAAAACAATGTATCATAAAGTCAGTGCATCACTTTCCTTTCTCTTTTGTGATACAGTAATTACAGACATTGCACTAGAAATGCCAAGGCCAGGGTTCAAATCCGCACTGGGCCAATGACTGTTTCTCAGTCTAACCTACTTTACAGGGTTGTTCTGAGGATAAATGGGGGCAGGAAACAATGTATGCTTTCCCCTAACAGTGTCATTTAAAGCACACAAATTGAGAACATTAGGATTGGACCCGAACCAACTTCTGGAAAGTGGATACGATAGGGCAAAAAATATCGTTCACCAACGTCTCAGAGATATTGAGCAACAAATGTCCCATGCTGTACTCTCGCCTCTTTACAAATCTTTGAAACCCAAAATTTATATGACTGCTCCTTTATATTTAGCTAATATTCCCAACCCAAATCACAGATGGGCTTTTTCCAGAGCTAGATTTGACACTTTCCCATCGGCAGTTCTTGCCGGAAGATTTCAACGCATCCCTAGGCATTTGAGATTTTGCTCATACCCCTCCGAGTCAATTGAGACCCTTTTCCATATATTGTTCCAGTGTTCCTATTATGCAGAAGAAAGAGCCCTTTTAATTACACCTATAATAAGGTCATTCAGGCACCAAGGACAATTAGTAATCCACTCTGAGGAACTTTTGCTGAAACATCTATTGGAGGACAAATCCACTGTAATATCAAGGAATGTTGCCAAATTTCTCTTTATTGCATTTACAAAGCGTAAGCACCTCCTCAATGTTCCTTATGATGTCTCTTCTCTGTAATGCTTTTTGCTTTTGATTCTGTATGCTGTTTAATGGGTCTCTGACCGTAATAAAAAATGAATGAATGAATGTCATTTAAAGCAGAATTACACACCTGTAAGGCTGGCACTGTGAGTTCCTTGGAAGATATAAGTAAAAACTGCTGTGTTTTTTTTAAAAGTTAAAATCTGTTTCCCTGCCCCTCTATTTTTTAAAACATTTGCAATATTCAGCCTAATGTTCTGGTGAGCCTGGAAGCTTGTACAATGCTTTGTGCCTATTTGATTGGTCCTAATGAAACGCGACATGGATTTGTGCGGACCAATATGGCTGTTTACAAGTTTT